CAAAATTTCCCTTAACGTGCTGTCTCTCGTGATACATGCGGGATCATATATGAAGCGTCCCAATTAGTTTTTTTTTACTGTAAGCAGTGGACAGGGGGCCACCGAGCTCCACGGCAGTATTGTAAAATTTCACAGCCCGTGTTAATGCGTCTCTACAGATGCAAGGCTACGAACGAGGATGAGAGGGCGAAGTTTGCGAAGTTTTTGACCCTTTTTCAAGCCATAAATTGTGAGCCACCGCTTGAAAGGGCGTGATGAACTTTTCAGATAATGTTGACCTGATGACGAATCCAAAACGAGGGTCCACGTAATAAAATTAAGGCTGTGAAAAATTGAAGAACATCGGAAGTGAAGAATGGATCTAGCGGATAGACACATGGGTTAGCTTTCTAGTACCAAATTAAACGTCTTCCTTTCTCACAAATGCTCAATCTATCATACCAACGCTAGCTTGCATGAGCCAGTACACAGTAAGGAGAAGAAGAGTGTCTGGGAGGCGGTTTGCCTTACCTGCTGCTCAGAGGAACTGCAAAAAAGCGAAACATGGAGCTTCATACCTTCGTGTCCGCTAATGCCACAATTCTTCAATGAATGCGAATCCGCATACGCAGCATAATAATTCGTGCCTACATTTTATTTTAGGTAAATGTAGGTAGGAGTGTGTATGCATGTATGTACATGGTTCATGTACGCTTGTAGAAAATTTGAGTGCGTCGCCGACTAGTATGGTGAATCACGAGATGGTCAAGTCCCCGTCGTCCCACGCAGATCGTATGGAGATAGTTTCTCGGAGTTCGTGCATATGTGTGTAAAATTCATGGTTGAGCCGCCAGTATATGTTTCATGCAAGAAATATTATCTTGTGGCGCGCAACCTCTTGGGATTATGATAGGCTAAACGTGTTTGCGCCACTTCGTCTCGAATCTGCCCGTGCAGGCTGGCGTGCCTTTGGGGGCTACTTTAACGAACGCACAGGGTGAAAAGTGGTTGCACTTCCGATATGAGGGAAAGGTCGTATTGGGAATCAGAACTTGTGGAGGGGGTCAAACCTGGGAGGGTGTGTGTGGATAGCTAGTTTTTGAATGTTTCTATCTTGCTGAATTCTGTCTCACACAGGCTTTGTGATGCGAGATACTAAGAATGATTCAATGAAAAATACAAGAAGACACAGCGGAACATTCTGTGTCCTGCCAGTGGAGGGGCGTGCATAAGTAGGCGGGGGTTGTCAACGACGTACAGTACAACTCGCTGAGACTAACCGTGTAGTGACTGGGACAACGTACTGGGGAAGCGAGACGGTCGCGTTCGTTGAATAATAATATATACCATTCCTGGGATACGTACTCCATAGTGGGCATTGAGATGCCTTCAAAAATAATTTAAAACATATATAATAATAAAAGTAATAAACATCATTCACTTTCCTCAGACACTTGTACGCAGTTATTATTGTTAACTCTGTCACATCCTGCAACAAGTTAGAAAAACCTTGGAATATACATAACCATAAGCAAAAATCTTTCATGTCAACACTTAGTTTGAATGACTGGGTTAATGCTAGTAATAATAACTAGACGAAGGGAATACTCTTAATGGGAGGGCGGGGCACCAGCCAGCAACATGGGATGCGAAATCCCGGCCAACGACTCCATGCTTCGCATTTCAAGGGTGTGGAGTTCAATACAGTCGGGATTTTGAAGATTGTTATGATCATGGTCGAGTGCAGCAGGTTAATAACCGACATCGGCATACATGTAGTCTCATTGCCCCGCATCTTGTCAGCCTACCACTACCATGCAGAAATACATTCCAAGTGTCGTTTTCATCTGATGCGTATAGCATGATTGATGGACAGGATATTTTCAGTGGAAACCAGTGGGATGCCTGATGGCCAAAAGGGGCATAAAACATATGTGTACAGCTTCTTGTCTGGCTAACGTTTGTGGAGTGTGATGCATATTAATGCCCATTGCCCTGCACCGTGCAAAATTCAATCAATGGGGGATTTCATTTGATGTGACTCTGCGGCGTAGATCAACGACCGTCTCTATGATGTCATGACTCAGTGCCTAACAGCTACGAGGAGGAAGGAGATACGAGGGGGTAGAGCAGACCTTTCAAAAATTAAATGGTCTTTCATTTTTCACCTCGCCTGTCCCTGGTCTTTTTATCATAGCATTCCTCTTCTGGGTCTACCATAGTAAACTTAGACCAGATGATGCTGATGCCCCATCTGAAATTTACTGTGTATGCATGTCTCATAGGCACGACGGGTGGCTCTTCTGATTTGGCGGATTGTTTTCCACGCCACGTTCCTTGGTGGCCCCGCAGATTCGGCCGCTAGTATTCAAATGGGGAGGGAAGGAAATATTTTGTTTTGATCTCGTACTCATAGTAGTCAGCAGGAATGCCCATGTAACGTCAGCGTATGGGCTAGGATGTATATTATAATATACGATGCCAAACTTGAGATTTCACTCCCTGTAACACCATTCGTGCTCGTAAGGTCCGCCGTTTCCACACTGCCGTTTTCAAACAACGGTGTTTCCAACCCATCCGCTGCCTTGTTGTTGGCTGGCTCGAAC